GGGCAGGGAGTTCCAGAGGATGGGTGACACCCTGGAGAAGTCCTGGAGGCGGGCATGGGAGGAGAAGACCAGGAACTAGAGAGAAGGAGGTCTTGTGAGGAGCGGAGTGTGCGTGCTGGGCGGTACTTGGATATGAGGTCAGTGATGTAGTTCGGGGCAGTATGGTGGACAGCTTTATACGTCAGTGTTAGGATTTTGAATTTGATCCGTTGCGCAATCGGAAGCCAGTGGAGGGATTGGCAGGGGGAGTGGCGAAAACGGAGCAGTTGGAAAGGTGAATGAGTCTGGCAGCCGTATTCAGGATCAACTGAAGCGGGGATAGCCAGCGGCGAGGCAGGCCAGTGAGGAGGGAGTTGCAGTAGTCGAGTTGTGATATGATGAGGGACTGGATGAGCTGTTTAGTGTTTTCTGGGGTTAGGAACGTGCGTATTTTGGTGATGTTGCGGAGGTGGAGTCTGCACGAGTTTAAAGATTGGACTTGGGGCTGGAAGGATAGGTTGGAGTCCAGAATGACACCAAGTACTCTGGCCTGCGGGGCGGGTTTGATGGTGGCGTTGTTGGATGTGATGGAGAAGTCAATGGGGGGTGGTGTCTGGGCTGGGGAAAGACAAGAAACTCGGTTTTGGAGAGGTTCAGTTTAAGGAAGTGGAGCGATATCCAGTCTGATATGTCGCTCAGTAGGTGTGTGATTCGGGCAGAGACTGAGGGGGTGAGGTGGGGGTTGAGAGATAGATTTGTGTGTCATCGGCATAGAGGTGATAGTTGAAGCCGTGGGAGTGTATGAGTTGGCCAAAGGAGGAGGTGTAGATGGAGAAGAGAAGGGGCCCGAGGACAGAGCCTTGAGGGACCCAACAGAGAGGGTGATTGAGGGGGAGGTGGTAGCATTATAGGTAACGCTGAAGGAGCGTTGTGACAGGTAGGATGAGAGCCAGGAGAGAGCAGAATCTCTGAGGCCGAGGGAGTGTAGTTTTTTGAGGAGGAGGGGGTGGTTGACTGTGTCGAAGGCCGCAGAGAGGTCAAGGAGTAGGAGCACTGAATAGTGGCCACTAGCTTTGGCGGTTAGCAGGTCGTTGGAGAGTTTGAGTAAGGCGGTTTCGGTGGAGTGTAGGGGACGGAAGCCAAGACTGTAGGGGATCGAGGAGGTTGTTGTCGTTGAGGTGAGAGCATAGGCGGGTGTAGACGAGGCGCTCGAGGAGTTTAGATGTAAATGGGAGCAGGGAGATGGGTCTGAGGTTGTTTGGGTCATTGGGGTCCAGGGAGGGCTTTTTAAGTATGGGGGTAATGTGTGCATGTTTCAGAGGGGAGGGGAAAGTACCTGAGGAGAGGGAGAGATTGAAGATGTGGTGAGGGAGCGTAGGATGGAGGGGAGGGAGGTCGTAGGAGTTGAGGGGATAGGGTCGAGGGGGCAGGTGGTGAGGCGGGCATCAGAGAGGCTCTTGGAGACTTCCTCGATGGTAGTAAGGTCAAAGGTGCGGAGTGTTGGGGGAGCTTCAGTATGAGGAATGTAGGGTGGGGTGGAAGTGGAGGTCAGAGCAGTGGTGGGGTCATGGGAGGGGGTGATGAGGGGGTAGCTGAGTGAGGGGAACGGGGTTGGAGGAGTTTGAGCAGCGACGAAGTCCCTGCGGGTTATGTCGAGGGAGAGGGGGGATGAGGGGGTAGCTGTGTGAGAGGGAGGGACAGGTTGAGAGGGCATGTGAGTTGCGGCGATGTCCTTGCGAATTGTGTCAATCTTGTTTTGAAGTGATTGGCAATCTCTAGGGCGGTGAGTGAGGTGCTGGGTGGAGGTGGGGGTGGAGAGAGTAGAGAGTTGAAGGTGGAGAAGAGTCGGCGAGGATTGGAGTAGAGGGTCTTGATGAGGGTCAGGAAGTAGGCTTGTTTGGCTGCGTGGAGGGAGGAGGTGTAGGTGTGGAAGGCAGATTTGTAGCAGGTGAAGGCTTGTTGGGATTTTGTTTTGTGCCATAGTCGCTCCAGGGCACGACTGTGTCATTTGAGGGTTTTGGTGTGATCAGTCTGCCAGGGCTGGAGCGGTCGGGTCTGATGTTGCATGTGGTTAAAGGCGCTAGTGAGTCAAGGGCTGTTGACAGCGCGTTGTTGTAGGCAGTCATAGCCAAGTCGGGGCAGGACAGGGGGAGGATGCTGTCATGGAGTTGATCAGCTGCAGAGTGGAGGGAGGCAAGGTTAAGGTTGCGGAGGTTACGGCTGGTGGTAGTGTGACATTTGGAGGGGTAGGCGTTGGAGGACGAGGAGATAGAGAAGGTAATCAGGTTGTGGTCAGAGAGAGGGAAGGGGGTGTTAGTGAGGTTGTGGGGAGCGCAGCGGTTGGAGAAGAGAAGATCAAGGATATTACCGTTGGAGTGGGTGGTGGATTGTATGCACTGTGCAAGTGCAAAGGAGGAGGTTAAGTGGAGGAGATGGGATGTGTCCGGGTTGTCGAGGTTGACAGGGATGTTGAAATCCCCAAGGATGATGGTGGGTAGCCAGGAGGAGAAGTCATCCAGGAAGCGGGGATCCAGGAGGCTGGTATATCACAGCAATCTTCAGGGGGTTGGGGAGAATAGTCGGACGCAGTGGGCCTCGAAGGAGGAGAAGGATAGGGAGGGGGGTTTGGGAGGACTCGGAAGGTGCTCTGCGGTGACAGGAGCAGACCAACCCCACCATTATACGACCGTTAGGCCTGAGTGAATGGGTCCAGGTGAGACCTCCATAGGAGAGTGCAGCAGGGGAGGTAGAGTCAGTGGGCTGGATCCAGATTTCCGTAATTGAGTAGGAGGTTGAGAGAGCGGGAAACAAAGAGGTCGTGGATGGCGTAAGCTTGTTGCACACCGATTGGGCGTTCAGGAGTGCACATGAAAACGGGGGGGGGGGGGGGAGATTTTAGGGAGCAGGGGCAGATACTAAGTTGCGGGGTTGCGGCGGGACGTGGAGGCGGGAGGGTGTTGTGCGGGTGAGGGAGGTGGTGGAGGGCCAGGATTCGGGGAGATGTCCCCCGCGGTTAGGAGGAGGAGAATTGTGAGAAAGGTGGCATGGGAGCGGGATGTGCAGGAGTGTGAAAAACTACTAGTGGAGGTGTTTGGGTCAGTGGGAGAGCGGAGTAATAGGAGGAGGTGGTGGGTGCCGAGAGGGGCGAAGGAAGTAGTGAGGACACAATATACAATTGTTTGGGAAGGAGCAGAGGGATATAGTGAATGGATGTTGGGAACGGAGGAGAGGAAAATGAGGAGGAGTGGAAGAGGCATTTTGGGGAGGTGAAGAGAGCAATAGTAGGAGATGATAGCAATGAGGAGGATATGTGCAAGTTTTGGGGTGGAGCAGAGGGGTAAAGAAATGAGATTTGGGAACAGAGGATAGTAATATGATAAGGAGAAGAGGGGCGTATTATATAAAGGTACACGGGGTGGGACTCAGGTATGTAAGAGAGGTTTTCCCAGGGTGTATGCTTGCAGTCTGTCCAGCGTGCAGTGGAGTTTCTTGCTGTTGTTGTGTCTTCCTGCTGCTTAAGTTCTCCTGCTTTAGTTCAACTGCTGTGTTTAACTGCCCCGGTGTCTGTTTACCCCTGCTGGTCACTTGAGGTATATTATCTCATATGGAAAGCTACTGTTTAGTGTCACAGTGTAAATTGAAATTTAACTTTTCATAGGCACCTCTGTGGATTGAGTTATACAGTTACTGTTGTGTTTATGTGCCATGTGCCAATTTTCTCTGGTATAATTGATGACCCTAATCTGCCAATACAGACTGTTTATCTTTTAAAGGGTGTTGTGTACATTTCTTGTGTGTCTGTTGGGGGCCTGCAGACAACTTAATCTGATGGTGTCAGTGAGGGTGGGGCCTCACACAGGACTTGGAGAGCAAAGGACCCAGAATTACCAGTGGCTCCTGCAGGGGTAGCGCTACGTAAAGAACAAAGTACACAGGGTTTAGTTTTAATAGTAGGTGTAGTTTTAAAAATGGTTGGCATTTAAGGTCAGTCTTGGACATGTTGGCATTTTCTGAAAATGCTAGTTCTCTACTGCAATGCTGAGTAAATAGTTTCAGTACGTTCTTAAAAGGGTTGGCATCGGGTTGGTATTTTACTCGCTTGTCCAGTAATAAAGGAACCTTTACCAATGTTGTTAAAAGTAAGGGGACCATAGGGCCAGTATTTTTTCCCAGAAAAATTGTCAACCCTATTCCTGAGTCACCCACATGGAAAGTATATATCATGACTAAATTCATGGATCTGCAAGGCTTCCTTGTCTAAATACTTGCTCTGGATCACAGATTCAAAGTACTCAAGTCTTTGAATCACAGTGGCAACCAGGCTGCTAGTACTTTTAGATAGATCTCGGCAATGGCAATTCCCTTCTTTCTTTCAGCACAGGAATCCTTTAAATTGCATTCACATTGACCTGTATAAAGGAATAAGAGCAAAGTCATGTAATGCATAGTAAATCAATAAATATACACTATATTGGCAAAAGTATTGGGACGCCTGTCTTTACATGGACATGAACTTCAATAGCATCCCTGTCTTAGTCTGTAGGGTTCAATATTGAGTTGGTCCACCCTTTGCAGCTATAACAGCTTCAACTCTTCTGGGAAGGCTGTCCACAAGGTTTAGGAGTGTGTCCATGGAAATGTTTGACCATTCTTCCAGAAGTGCATTTGTGCAGGCCAGTCAAGTTCCCCACTCCAAGCTCACTCATCCATGTCTTTATGGACCTTGCTTTGTGCACTGGTCATGTTGGAACAGGAAGAGGCCATCCCCAAACTGTTCCCACAGAATAGGGAGCATGAAATTGTCCAAAATGCCTTGGTATGCTGACACCTTAAGAGTTCCCTTAACTGGAACAGAGGAGCCAAGCCCAACCCCTGAAAAACAACCCCACACCATAATCCCCCCTCCACCAAACTTTACACTTGGTACCGTTCTCCTGGTAACTGGCAAACCCAGACACGTCCATCAGATTGCCAGAAAGAGAAGCATGATTTGTCACTCCAAAGAACACGCCTACATTGCTCTAGAGTCCAGTGGCAGCGTGCTTTACACCACTGCATACGATGCTTTGCATTACACTTGGTGATATAAGGCTTGGATGCAGCTGCTTGGCCATGGAAACCCATTCCATGAAGCTCTGTATGTACTGTTGTGCTAATCTGAAAGCCACACAAAGTTTTGTAGGTGTTTAGCTATTGACTCTGCAGACAGTTGGTTGACTTTTGCGCACTGTGCGCTTCAGCATGCTCGGACCCAGCTCTGTCATTTTACTTGGCCTACCGCTTCGTGGCTGAGTTGCTGTTGTTCCCAGTTGCTTCCACTTTGTTATAATACCACTAACAGTTGACCGTGGAATATTTATTAGCAAGGAAATTTCATGGATGGACTTATTGCAAAGGTGAGTCAGTGGGCCGATCACGGTACAATGCTTGAATTCACTGAGCTCCTGAGAGCGACCCATTCTTTCACAAATGTTTGTAGAAGCAGTCTGCATGCCTAGGTGCTTGAGTTTATACACCTGTGGCCATGGAGGTGATTGGAACACCTGAATCCAATGATGTGGAGTGGTGTCCCAATACGTTTGGCAATATAGTGTATGTGTGCACTGCTCTAAAAAATTAAACTCCAACAGCATTTCATATCCATCAAAAATACTTCTCAAACTGATGACAGAAGCAAAATCCAAGTGTCTATTATAGTATTACTGCTTCACTGCCATCATCGGTGTTCGGAGTTGATAGTGCGGAGAACAGAACGAAGTGTATTCTGTTCTTTAGAAACATCGCCCTCCAGTGGTTAAGAGTGATATTAAACTGAAGAATGAGTACACAGGAGATGCACTGCATTGATTCAAGGAAACCCAGACATACAGAAGCTGGTGCTCATTTTCTCCATATGAAAAGCAGCAACTGAAGGCAGGCTGAAGTTAGAATTGATCTGCATACTTGTTCTGGATCAGTGGCGTAGAATGTGTTGACACATTAGACAGCCTGGTAACTAGCATTTTTTAGGAGTGGTTATCAGTGGTAGTCACAATATTTCTATTAGCACAGATTTAATTTTAAAGCAGATTTTAGGAATGACGTAAGGGTGCAGCTTCTGCTGACTTGTTTCTGAAGATGCACACTTTAGATCAGTCAACCTCATTCTTCCTTTACTTCTTGGTGAGTCACAGGCTTGGAACAGGATGAGAGTGTATCAGGTGTCCCAACACATCACCGGCTGCATGTTTGTTTGTACTGAAACATAATAGATATGATAGCCCAATAGCCTGCAAATGAAAAAAACAAACAAGCAATGACACATTTCAATCAGACAGGTTGGTTCTTCTTAAAATAACATGCTCATTACAGCTTCCTTACTTGTGAGAGAGGTCATCTGTAGGTGTTGGTCAATGTGATCAGAGTGCTCTTCCTATTACCTATGCTGTTGTTTGGGAGAGGTGTTTGGTGATACACAGAGCAAGATTTAGAGGCTGCCCGGTCACTTTTTTGCACTTAAAAAAGTCTGTGAGAGATCTTGTACTTATTGATCAACAGATGTTGTTTCCATATATGATATATAACATATATCAGTATTTATAAAGGCTCTTATAATACTATAAACTTGCTAACAACTGTTAAAAAAAGGTAAAGTCATGTAAATAGATAAAATACAACACTGGAGCCCTGCTGTATTTGTTATAAATGAGAGAAATCAGAACTAACAATATATCAGAAAAATCCCTTTCATTGCACTCCTTTCTTATATTAAATTCCAAATGCGACACATAAAATAGGGCCTATTGAATGAAGCATAATAGTGTTGTACTAGGATAATCCATAGACCAAAACTACAACGTTACAGTACAGGGTCTTCAACATGTAGAAGTTCCACCAGAAACCATATATACATATCAAATACTCACAGTAAAATTCCAGATGTGGTTCACCCATATGGTTTAACAGTCACAAAGTGTTTGTGTTCGTCAAGTGACTTGTGATAGAATAATTGAAATGTTTATTGAAGGTTCCAGTAGAGTTGACATGTTTTGGGTATCTGTGCCCTCTTCGTCAGGGCTAATATTAAACATAATTATTATGAAAATGTGTATATATATAATTCTGTAAAAATATATTCTTACACCAACAAATATAAACATTCTTTGGAAACAGGCACTGTCACTGTTGACAAGTTGAGTGCTTGCATTACTTTTAAAAAATACCATCGTTGTCCCCTTTCTGACAATGCTAGTTTTCATGATAACTGCTGGCTTCCATGCTTTCTAAGTCAACAGGTCAGAAATTTAGGTTTCACCTCAAGAGTAATGTCCATGCTCCCTGAAGACCGGATAAAGTACTGAAGCCAGAGAAAGCTAGGTAATCAACAGGCCAGAAGTGACAGCCAACACATTTCTCTTGGTATAAGTTCTTTATTGCATTTTACATTGTTGTCCTGGGTTGTGAAGATCAAAGCAGTATTTCAGCTTGAACCTAACTAGCCTTAAAAATGTTCCTTCCCCCCCTCCTAACACCTCTCCTGATTAACCTGTTTAAAGAAGATGTATATACTTTATTTTCAGCCCACTTTAGTCTGCTCCTGTCACGGGATCCCCTGTGTCAGCCAATGTCATTTGCAGGGGAGACAGCACTCAACAATGGCTGGGAAAGCCTTCAAGAAGGCAGCAGAGACATCACCCATAGGCTCCCATGTCCCAGCCATTGTCGGCGCTCCCTCTTCTAACCTGCAGTCGCTGCTGGTTGATACAGGAGTGCTGGATCACATGACCAAATCTGAGCTGGCTGAAAATTGGTAAGAATATGCATCTTTTATTTAGTCAACAGTTAGGTTTTGGCTGGAATTCTTCTTTAAGGGTGGTTTATAGTATTTTAATTTTATTTTGGATATACTTAAATTGGAACTACAATGTATCTGAGCAGCACAAACCAAAAGCGCTATTTAATTAATTTTTAATATTCAATGAAAACTCCCCCATCCATCCATGTCTCCATGCTTTACTTTGCTGAGATATCACTTAGTAAAACCCCTACTAGCATTTCTGGCCATGGCCATCCTAAATAAGGGCAGATGATTCATGTAGCAATTACTTCCTGGAATCTATCTGCCCTTAACTCAGACATGCAGCCAGGATCATGTTCTTACTGAGAAAACCCTTCCTCCCGTCCTGCAGACACCTGGGATGTATGACATCATTTGCCTAGGCATGAAAACTAGGAAGTGACTAAAGAAATGTAAAAAACTGTTTAAAAAAGTAAATATGATATACTTTCCTATCTATTTCCTAATGCTAGCAGCAAAAGGATAGCCAATCTTGATTAAGAGAGTAACGTTCCACTTTAAGGTGACCTGATGTCATTTATCCAATCAACGTATGATAATGTATATGGTCAGTTGCTAGCAGCCAGCAATAGAATTTGGATTGTTTTAAGGGGATACTGCCAAAGAATTTGTTGTAAATGTTGTTGGTAATTAACTCCAGAGACTGGATGCAAGCGGTATTACATAGTATTCGTGTTATAATTAGGGATGTACATATCATAGTATTTTGCTGCATACTATATATTTATACCACCATGTAGGATAGATTGCAAATGTTGGAGGCTGGTGAGGTGATGGCCTGGTCTGTCCTACTCTGCTACAGTTGTCTTTCTTTGGGGATGGTGCATGGTTCCGGGGATGTCTCTCCCTTACTGGGGGGTCTTTAGCTGATGGTTATGCCTGGATAGCCACATGCATCTTGGGTAAGAAAATGAAGTGGTAAAGATAAGACATGATGTGTATCTATGTTATTATACTTTGTCATTGTACAGTGGGGAATATATTTATTTGATCCCCTGCAGACTTTGTAAGTTTGCCACTTACAAAGACATGAACGGTCTATCATTTTTACCATAGGTGTATTTTAAATGATAGAGAAGAATATCAGCCAAAAATCCAGAAGAAACACATGACACAAATGTTATACATTGAGTTGCAGTTCAGTAAGTAAAATAAGCATTTGATCCCCTTCACAAAACATGACTTAGTACTTGGTGGAGAAACCCTTGTTGGCAAGCACAGAGGTCAGACGTTTTCTTGTAGTTGGTTACCAGGTTTGCACACATCTCAGGAGGGATTTTGGTCCATTCTTCTTTACAGATCTTCTGTAAACCCTTAAGGTTTCTTGGCTGTCGCTTGGCAACTCGATGTTTTTTAACTCCCTTCATAAATTTTCTATAGCATTAAGGTCTGGGGATTGGCTAGGCCACTCCATGAACTTAATGTGCTTCTTGAGCCACTCCTTTGTTGCCTTGGCAGTATGTTTTGGGTCATTGTCATGCTGGAAGACCCATCCATGACCCATCTTCAGTGTTCTGGCTGGGACCCTAAGAACACCTTGTTAAATCTATGCCATGAAGAATTAAGGCAGGTCTGAAGGCAAAAGGGGGTCTTCTAGTTTAGCTAGGGGAGCTAGATCCTAATGGTTAGAAGCTGTTAGCAGCTCAGGTGTGATAGCCAGTGGGGTTGAATTGTGGTCAGGGCTGAGAGACTCTGCAGGCCAGCCCCTCTGGGATTTCCTGTGCTCTGAGGCTTTCGGAAGAGGGCCTTGGAGGCAGTCGGTAGATCTGAGGAGTGGATGGCTGCACTCTTGTGGTACCTCAGCCAATCCCCAACAGAAGGTTTGGCAAAGGGCTAGGACTCCCTTAAAAGTGTGTTGAAGCCTGTTCAGTAGCAGGAGAGTTGGAGGAGAGTCGAGTGGAAGAAGGAGAGGAGTGTGGCGAGAAAGATGTGAGGCTGGAGAAGGAAGGCTGCCAGGAAGCCTAGTGAGATGGGTCCTGCCTGCGAGCCTGGGGCTGGAAAGGAGGAAAGCTCGGGACTCACTGGCCCCCTTGAGCGAAAACCACCTGTGTGGCAGGGATGGAGCTGCCCAGCTGATAGGACTGGTAGCAGCATCCACCCGCAAGCGGTACAGGAGAGGGTTATGAGTGAGTACACCTGTACCCCCTTGGTGGATGGGGGAGGGAGCACTCTGGTGGAAAACCAGATTGGCCCCCTACTAATGACTATTCACCTAATTTAACCGCTTCCCACCTGGCCACTGCACATAAACGGCCAGGTGGGAGCTTTTTCCGTTCTGAGTGGATATTCATGAACGTCATTTCCAAAATGGAGTCATTTTGTGGGTAATTCCATTGTCTTGGTGCCCCAGGGCCTTCAAAAATTTTAATAGGTAGTCAAGAATTGAGATGTGTAATTTATGCCTCCAGAACGCCTTTAGGTCCTATTTGGATATTGGGCCTCTGTATGTGGCCAGGCTGTGGAAAAGTCTTACACATGAGGTATCCCCATACTCAGGAGGAGCAGCAGAATGTGTTTTGGGCTGAAGCTGCAAGTATGCATATGCTGTGTGAA